GGTCGTGCAATGGCTCTGAAAAGGATTGAAAGAGAATAGACATGGCTTCCTCCTTTCCCGATTCTTCATCGCGCTTGGAACGCATCCGTAAAATAAACCTTTCTATGTATCAGGTTCTTTTTCGGAACCGTGTAAACCCTGTACTTGAATTTCCCGCACTTTCGCCAGCGGAAGGTGTAAACTGGGCGCGCTGTGCCCATCCCCTGCATTCCTTACAATTCTCTACCTTTTCGTATTCGTAGTGTACAATTTCGACTATTTGCAATTCATATGCATATTACTAAATGACTTTGACATGTTCTAGCAATGAACAAGTGCACGGATGTATAGACATCCGTTGTGAGAAGGATGATCTCTTCCTCCCCCGATTCTGATTTCTTCATTACGCTTGAAACGCATGCTCGAAATGCATTATTCTATGCATCAGGGTCTTCTTCGGAACCCTGCCAACCTTGTTCCTGAACTTCCTGAACTTTTGCGAGCGGAAGATGCGAGCGCGGAATTGCCATGCCAATTTCAATCCCTGGCATTCCACTACCTTCCTTGATTCATAGTGTACAATTTTTATCAATAGGCGTATACCTACCTACATATTGTAGAGGCTTCATAACAACCCAGTGGAGCGAGAACATTTGAAGCGAGGAGGATGATCTCCTCCTCCTCCCCCGAATCTCATTTCCCCGTCTCACTTGAAACAATCTCGTAAAGCTGGCAGTTCTACGTGTCAGGGCCCTCTTCAAAACCCTGCCAAGTCTGTACCTGAATTTCCAGAACTTTTGTCAGTGGAAGATACCAGGGTGCAGCGCGCAACGTACCATTATTCCGTACCACTCTACCTTCCTCCATTCGTACTTCCTCATTAACGTCCACGTGTAGCTCGCATATAAGTATAAATCTATTCAACACTTCTCAACAAGTAGTAAGCACAGTCGAGCACGTAACAACGTGCATAGAATGATAATGTCCTCCTCCGCTCCCCATTCCACATCCATCGCGCTTGGAACGCATTGGCGAAACTGACACTTTTACACGTCAGGGTCTTCTTTGGAACAGTGCTATTTGCGTGCCTGGATACCTGTAACTTTCTGTTAGCGAAAGATCACGGCCGGCGGGTAGTTTTCCGTATCTCGTACCATTCCTTACATTCCTCCATTCGCAGCCTATGTCGGATGTGCGCAATGACATCTCATGCATCTTTGCTAATTCCTAAGTAGCATTAGTGACTTGAGACATTGACAAGGCAAAGTGGACATACATTCCAAACAACAAGTAAGGATATGCTCCTGCTCTCCCGATTCTTCGTCGCGCTTGAACCGCACACACAGAAATTCCATCTTGATGTGTCAGGGTTCTATTCGGGTAGTATCCCCGGTGTCCCTGCACTTGTGGTATCAGAAGTTTGTGAGCGGGTGATGCTCACCAAAGTGTTTATCGTCCGAATTCATTGGTTTATTGTATGCTTTCGGGTTTCTGTGATAAAAAAAGTTTCGGAATTTGTTTATTCATGTGGTAGAATCATAACACGCTCACTTGCGTAGGAAGTACCAAAGCACGTAAGTACATTCAGGTGTAGATGGCCACCGAACGTGTCCTCCATCTCCTCTCCCGATTCCGAATTGAAAAACGGCATTCTGAATTTTCAGCTGTCAGAAATTTATTCATCAAGGGTCTGATGAATGTACGTACTTTGATTTGGAACGACTTGGCTTGGATTTTTTTGAGGCGTTCTGAACTTTCGCAAACGGGAGCCATTCCCGCAATAGTAATGAAGATATCTGCGGGTGTACATTAGTCGGTACTTCTTTCACAGATGGGTTGGAAGTACTTCGAGTGCACCCTAATAGAAAAGTAAATCAAACGCGGCCGGAGTGAGTCAAAGAAACCAATGGAATGGATGGATACGCAACTTACGCAAAGATCGTTTCCTCCGTCCCCGGTTCCTTGGATCCGAACCCTGCACGAAACGAGACTCGGACCCTGCTTCCGTAAAATTTCTACGTCAGTCACACCTCGGCTAGTTACTGCCAAGCGAGAAAACCTATAAAGACGGGGATGGTAAGTCCAGTATTTTTCCATCAGCGCCCACTTACATTCCCACTCCTCCTCCCATTCTTCTTCTTTCGTTGTCGACGTCCACTCCCCTTTCGTCGTCGTCCTCACAATCTTCGTCGTCATTCATTCGTAAGTCGTCTGCGCGTCGTCCGTCGTCGCTGATTTTGACGTTGCGTATCGAGTTTTTAGGCCCCTCCTTCAAGGCGAGATGTGACAGAATGCTAAATGGAAACCACGTACGTCAACATCGTCTTCATGACAGACAATGTTTCACTCACCTTTGCTTATATCCTTTTTTCTGCAGACTCGC